CCCCCCCCCCCCCCCGCCCCCCCCCCCCCCCCCCCCCCCCCCCCATCACCCTGAACTGTTCCATCAAGGTGGTGGTCCAGGACAGATTGTTGGTGATTGTCACTCCTAGGAACCTGATGCTCTTGACCATCTCTACCTCAGCTCCATTGATGTAGATAAGGGTGCGCTGTCCATCTCGTTTCCTGAATTCAATGGTTTATCAATGACTAGAGAGTTGTTGGTTATCAATCATTTCAAAATAATGTAAAGAGATAAATATTCATCTGCATGTCAACTGGGGCATCAGACTGGTGGATTTCTGCTGAAAACCTGAAATGTACATAACTTCTCCACAGTGTCTATGAAATTAACCAACCTAACCACACTCGAATTGCAAGAAAGGAAATGGGAAGGCCAGACAGATTGCGAGCAAAAGGCGCAGAAAAAAATAAGCTGAGACAGAAACAGACAATGAGAGATAGTGATTCCCATGGTAGAGAAAGAAAGTTGGAGAGATTTACTGCAAATATTTTAAAAATGAAGCTTCTTTATTGTCTGATTCCATGTAGTCGGTTCTTATTTAATTTATTTACAGGATGTGGGAATCATAGGCAAGGTCAGCACTTGTCCATTCCTAATGCCTTAAAATCATCAAGGTGAACTGTGATCTGTAAATGAACACTCAGCCAGTTCAGAGAGGGCATATCTCTCACAGTCTTCACAGTGGAAGACACAAATAACATGCCGAAAACTAATGGCGAGAAGGTTATAGCAGGTGAGGACATAGAAACTATCATTATCACTAAGGAGACAGTGCTGGGCAAGCTAATGGGGCTAAAGGTAGACAAGTCTCCTGGCCCTGATGACATGCATCCCAGGGTACTAAAAGAAGTGATGGGGGAAATAGCAAATGCACTAGTAATTATTTACCAAAATTCACTGGACTCTGGGGTGGTTACCGCAGATTGGAAAACAGCCAATGTGATGCCACTTTTAAAAAAGGAAGTAGATAACGAGCAGGTAACTATAGGCCAGTTAGCTTAACTTTGGTAGTGGGGAAAATGCTTGAATCTATCATTAAGGAAGAAATAGCAAGACATCTGGATATAAATTGTCCCATTGGGAACACCCAGCATGGGTTCATGAAGGGTAGGTCATGTTTAACTAATTTGGTGGAATTCTTTGAGGACATTACTTGCATGGTGGACAATGGGGAACCTGTGGATGTGGTGTATCTGGATTTCCAGAAGGCATTTGACAAGATGCCACACCAAAGGCTGCTACATAAGATAAAGTTGCACGGTATTACAGGTAATGTATTGGCATGGATAGAGGATTGGTTGACCAGTAGAAAGCAAAGAGTAGGTGTAAATGGGTGTTTTTCTGGTTGGCGGTCAGTGGCTAGTGGAGTGCCTCAGGGATCAGTGTTGGGACCTCAATTGTTCACAATTTACATAGATGATTTGGAGTGGGGGACTAAGTGTGGTGTGTCAAAATTTGTAGATGACACTAAGGTAGAGCAAAGTGTGCAGAAGACACTGAAAGTCTGCAAAGGGATATAGATAGTCTAAGTGAGTGGGCAAAGGTCTGGCAGATGGAGTACAATGTTGATAAGTGTGAGGTCATCCATTTTGGTAGGAATAACAGCAAAATGGACTATGTTTTAAATGGTAAAAAATTGCAGCATGCTGCTGTGCAGAGGGACTTGGTTGTCCTTGTGCATGAATTGCTGAAGGTGGGATTGCAGGTGCAGCAGGTAATTAGAAAGGCAAATGGAATTTTGTCTGCCATTGCTCGAGGGATGGAGTTTAAAAACAGGGAGGCTATGCTGCAGCTGTATAGGGTCCTGGTGAGGCCACACCTGGAGTAGTGTATGCAGTTTTGGTCTCCTTACTTGAGAAGAGATATACTAGCACTGGAGGGGGTGCAGAGGAGATTCACTCGGTTGATTCCAGAGTTGAGAGGGTTGGATTATGAGGAGAGACTGAGTAGACTGGGATTATACTCATTGGAATTCGAAGAATGATGGGAGATCTTATCGAAACATATAAGATTATGAAGGGAATATGGAGGCAGGGAGATTGTTTCCGCTAGCAAGTGAAACTAGGACTAGAGGGCATCGCCTCAAAATAAAGGGAAGCAGATGTAGAACTGAGGTCAGGAGGAACTTCTTCACCCAAAGGGTTGTGAATCTGTGGAATTCCCTGCCCAGTGAAGTGGTTGAAGCTACCTTGCTGAATGTTTTTAAGGCAAGGCTAGATAAATTTTTGATCAGTAAAGAAATTAAGGGTTATGGTGAGTGGGCGGGTAAGTGGAGCTGAGTCTCAAAAAAGATCAGCCATGATCTTATTAAATGGCGGGGCAGGCTTGAGGGGCCAGATAGCCTACTCCTGCTCCTAGTTCTTATGTTCCTATATGCAGTGCCACATTAAAACGAAACTTTAATTACAATACTGAGCATGGTTCCCCTTCTCTGCAATATGTACCTCACTTTGTTTATTGGGTGTTTCCTGATCTGACAAACCCCGTGGAGGAAATTGCTGATTTAATCCTACCCCATACTTTTAACCTCTTGTTTAACAAGGATATATTCATCTTTGCCTTAGAAATATTCAAGGACTCTGGTTCCATCAGCTTTTCAGGACCGTGTAATTAATTAAACATGAATTTAACCTGCATACCTGAGCCCCTGTGGTCTCTAAGAGATTAAGCACAACATAATCCTCTGAGAATTTTTTTTGCCTCATCTCTGTTTTAAATGAGTCATCTCTGATGTTTAAAGAGTGACCACTTGTTTTAGATTCCCAGACAAGAGGAAAGATCCTCTGTACATCCACCCTGTCAAGACCCCTTAAGAACGTGTATGTTTCAATCAAATTGCCTCTTACACTTCTGAATTCCAACAGATACAAATTTAGCCTATCATAAAACAATCCTCCAATTCCAGGTATTAGTCTGGTAAACCTTCCCTGAATTGCTTGCAATGCATTTACATTCATCCCTAAATAAGGTGACTAAGACTGCACACAGTATTCCAGATGATGTCTCACCTGTGCCTATAAACTCCCTACCTTTGTACTCAGTTCCCCTCGTGATATACAATAACATTCTATTAACTTTCCTAATTACTTGCTGTACCTGCACAATAAACTTTTGTGATTCATGCATGAAAACCCATACAGCCAGATCCCTCTGTATCTATCCCAAGTGAGTAAAGACAGTGGGATCTTCATCCCTGTCACTGATAATCTATTTAGGTCACTGAGCCAAATCTCTGATCATGTGAGAGTGAGTGGATCTGGGGTGAGAACACAATCAGGCATTGTGATGGAACATGCAATCAAACAACCTATTAGCATTTCTGTTGAAAAGAGAAGATTAGAGTTTAGAATATTAGTTGCACATTCATAATCTCAGGCACCGTAGTACTTCCTAGCTGAGGACAGAATAAATCACTGTTAATTTGTGCACAGCTAGCTCCCAACAACAGTAATTTAGCAATGATGATAGGACATTTTTATCCTGGTGGCTGAGAAATAGATATTAGCCAGATCATTGCATAGGTCTCCTTTCCTGTTCTTCAAACTAGTGATGTGGAAATTTTTACATCTAAATCACTTGGCAGAATTAACCTCAGTTTAATGTCGAAACTAAAAGACAGTACCTCCAACAGCATGAGATAGTAGGCCCGAAACGTCAGCTTTCCTGCTCCTCTGATGCTGCTTGGCCTGCTGTGTTCATCCAGCTCTACACCTTGTTACCTCCAACAGCGTGGATGCCTTCAGTAGTGACCATGTGTGTGCGCTAAGAACCGATTCTCTGATCATGCACACTCCCTCAGTGTCGACACTCCAGCAGTGTAGTACGTCATTACTACCCTCCAACAATGCAGTATTTCATTACCGAACCTCCAACAATACAGCACTCCCGCAGTACTGCTACTCCAATGGCAAAGCATGCCCTCAGCCCTGACTTTCCAACCGGATCTTACCCTAGAATGTTTTGGTGCTCTCTTGGTTTTGTCTGTCCAAGGATGTGGCATTCACTTAATACTGACCTTCCAAAAGAGCATTAATCTCTTAGAACTGACCCTCCAATAATGCAGCACACCCTCAGTACTATACTGCAGTGTCAGCTGTGATGATGTGTTCAGATCCGTGGACTGAATCTCATTGCCTGTTCACTCAGTAGTGACAGTATCAAAGCAAAGCTCACAGATAGAGAAAGCCCATTTCACTGAGACAGAGCTGTTGCGAGGCATCAGGGAAGGCTTACCTGGTGCAGGATTTATGTCCTCTTGAGAAAGCAGATATAATTTAACCGAAAAGCTGACAACAATGCTGGGAACACGAGACAGGAAGCTGTAATTTTGCAGCTACATTTCTGAGAATGACAATGAAAATACTTGCAATAACTGCAGGAAGTGAAAAGCCACAAGCCACAGGAAATGATCAGCAGAGTGTGTTACTGACATCCTTCTACTAACGCTGCAGTGATAAAACCCAATGTCTGGGGAAGGCTTCATGAAGGCAGAATGACGGGTTAAGAACAAGATCCCCAGGGGAAGTGAAACTTTGGACTGCAAGCTGTTCTGCTCGCATTTTGCCGCAGTGTCAGACCTGTCCCCAGTAGGAATGGGGGTGTTTACCCCAGCCCTGACCCTCCCCCCAGTAGGAATGGGGGTGTTTACCCCAGCCCTGACCCTCTCCCCAGCAGGTATCACTGAATAAATTACAAAATTTGCAGACACTACACAACTTGGGCGAATTGCAAACTTTGAGGATGATGGGGTGGGAGTTCAAAATGTCATTGACAAGTTGGAGTGGGCAAATAGGTGGCAGCTGTAGTTCAATGCAGAGAAATCTGAGGTGATGCATTTTGATAGGTAGAAGATGGAGAAATAGTGTAATATACAGCATGCTGAAGGGGATTCTAAAGGGGGTGCAGGAGCAGAGGGTCCTGGATTTATACATGCGTAAATCATTGACAATTGCAGGAGCGATAGAGTGTGCGGTTAATAAAGCATACAGAATTCCAGACCCGGGGTCAGTTGGTTCAGTTGGCCGGGAGCTGGTTTGCGATACAGAGTGCCAACAGCACAGGTTCAATTCCTGTAATGGCTGAGGTTACCGTAAACATTTCGTCTTTTCAACCTAGAGATAGTAGGAACTACAGATGCTGGAGAATCTGAGACAACAAGCTGTAGAGCTGGATGAACACAGCAGGCCAAGCAGCATCAGAGGAGCAGGAAAGCTGACGTTTCAGGCCTAGACCCTTCTTCAGAAATGGGGGAGGGGAAGGGGGTTCTGAAATAAATAGGGAGAGAGGGGGAGGCGGATAGAAGATGGATAGAGGAGAAGATAGGTGGAGCGGAGACAGACCGGTCAAAGAGGCAGGGATGGAGCCAGTAAAGGTGAGTGTAGGTGGGGAGTTAGGGAGGAGATAAGTCAGTCCAGGGAGGACGGACAGGTCAAGGGGGCGGGATGAGGTTAGTAGGTAGGAGATGGGGGTGGGGCTTGAGGTGGGAGGAGGGGATAGGTGGGAGGAATGACAGGTTAGGGAGGCGGGAACGAGCTGGGCTGGTTTTGGGATGCAGTAGTGGGAGGGGAGATTTTGAAGCTTGTGAAGTCCACATTGATGCCATTGGGCTGCAGGGTTCCCAAGCGGAATATGAGTTGCTGTTCCTGCAACCTTCGGGTAGCATCATTGTGGCACTGCAGGAGGCCCAGGATGGACATGTCGTCTGAGGAATGGGAGGGGGAGTTGAAATGGTTCGCGACTGGGAGGTGCAGTTGTTTAGTGCGAACTGAGCGTAGGTGTTCTGCAAAGCGGTCCCCAAGCCTCAGTTTGGTTTCCCCGATGTAGAGGAGGCCACAACGGGTACAGCAGATGCAGTATACCACATTAGCAGATGTGCAGGTTAACATCTGCTTGATGTGGAAAGTCTTCTTGGGGCCTGGGATGGGGGTGAGGGGGGAGGTGTAGGGGCACGTGTAGTACTTCCTGCAGTTGCAGGGAAAAGTGCCGGGCGAGGTGGGGCTGGAGGGGAGTGTGGAGCGGACAAGGGAGTCACGGAGAGAGTGGTCCCTCTGGAAAGCAGATAAGGGTAGGGAGGGAAAAATGTCTTTGGTGGTGGGGTCGGATTGCAGATGGCGGAAGTGTCGGAGGATGATGCGTTGGATCTGGAGGTTGGTGGGGTGGTGCGTGAGGATGAGGGGGATTCTGTTTTGGTTGTTATTGCGGGGAGGGGGTGTGACGGATGAGCTGCAGGAAATGCGGGAGACGCGGTCGAGGGCGTTCTCGACCACTGAGGGGGGGAAGTTGCGGTCCTTGGAAAACAAGGACATCTAAGATGTATGGGAGTGGAATGCCTCATCCTGGGAGCAGATGCGACGGAGGCAAAGGAATTGGGAATAGGGGATGGCATTTTTGCAGGAAGGTAGGTGGGAGGAGGTGTATTCTAGGTAGCTGTGGGAGTCAATGGGCTTGAAATGGATATCGGTTTCTAGGTGGTTGCCCAAGATGGAGACAGAGAGGTCCAGGAAGGAGAGAGAGGTATTAGAGATGGTCCAGGTGAACTTAAGGTTGGGGTGGAAGGTGTTGGTGAAGTGGATGAACTGTTTGAGCTCCTCGTGGGAGCACAAGGCACCGCCGATACAGTCGTCAATGTAACGGTGGAAGAGGTGGGGTTTAGGGCCAGTGTAGGTACAGAAGAGGGATTGTTCCACGTAACCTACAAAGAGGCAGACATAGCTTGGGCCCATGCGGGTACCCATGGCCACTCCCTTTGTCTGTAGGAAGTGGGAGGAATTGAAAGAGAAGTTGTTGGGGGTGAGGATGAGTTCGGCTAAGCGGATGAGGGTGTCAGTGGAGGGGGACTGGTCGGGCCTGTGGGACAGGAAGAAGCGGAGGGCCTTTCGGCCATCTATATGGGGAATGCAGGTGTATAGGGACTGGACGTCCATGGTAAAGATGAGGTGTTGGGGACCGGGGAATTGGAAGTTTTGGAGGAGGTGGAGGGTGTGGGTGGTGTCATGGACGTAGGTAGGGAGTTCCTGGACCAAGGGGGAGAAAATGGAGTCCAGATAGGTGGAGATAAGTTCGGTGGGGCAGGAGCAGGCGGAGACAATGGGTTGACCAGGGCAGTCAGGTTTGTGGATTTTGGGAAGGAGATAGAAGTGGGCGGTGCGGGGTTGGGGAATGATGAGGTTGGAGGCTGTGGGTGGGAGGTCACCTGAAGTGATGAGGTTGTGGATGGTTTGGGAGATGATGGTTTGGTGGTCGGGGTTGGGGTCATGATCAAAGGAGGAGGCGTCGGAGAGTTGGCGTCTGGCCTCAGCGATGTAGAGGTCAGTGCGCCATACTACAACTGCGCCTCCCTTGTCCGCAGGTTTTATGGTGAGGTTGGGATTGGAGCGTAGGGCTGCACGTTCTGCGGGGGAGAGGGAGGGTTAGGCTCACGGTTGAAGAAGTAATCGCGGAGGCGGAGATGGCGGAAAAACTGCTCAATGTCCAAATGTGACCGGTATTCATTGATGTGTGGGTGGAGGGGGACAAAGGTGAGCCCTTTACTGAGGACTGTAAAGGGCTCACCTCAGTAAAGGGCTCACCTTTGTCCCCCTCCACCTGCAAATGCAGATGCATTCTGTCCCTCAGAATTGCTCCCAATAGTTTCGCCACTACTGAGGTTAGACTGACAAGTCTGTAGTTTCCTGGTTTATCCCTGAAATAACTGTACAGAGGCCAGTATCCTGTCACCGAGTCAATCTTTATTTACACATGGAAAACCCTTGACTCTGGCACAGCCTCAGCACAATCAGTACCCAGGGTGTCAGAATCCCTGACTCTCTCATTTATATCTGTCAACCAGAGCTCCCTGATTGGACCAGATTAACAGCCCCAATCTCATTACAATCACTATAATCCCAATTTCATTTCTTGAATCATTATACCACATTGACTGTCCTCCAGTCCTCTGGCACCTCTCCAGTGGCCAGAGGGGAATTGGAAACTTTTGCCCCTTCTTTTTCCTCCCTTGTCCCAGTCAACAACCTGGGATATATTTCATCAAATGTTTATCTACTTTTAAACCACTCAGAACATCTTCTCTATGCTAATTCCTTTACTTGTATCACAAACCTTCTCCCTGATTTCTCTTCCCATATTGTCCCTCTCACTAGTGAACACTGACAAAAAGTATTTATTTAGAACTGAACCTACATTCAATGGGCCCACAAACAGATCATTACTGCTGTGGTTCTTAATGGACCCTACTCTTTCCCTTAAGATACCTGTAAAACTCTTTCGGATTTTTCTTTATTTTATCTGCCAGTATCCTTTCCTATCCCTTTTTAGCTCTCCTAATCTTTTTAAGTTCTCCCTTGCACATTCCGTACTCCTCTGGGACTTATGTAATTTTGAGGCCTGCCATAAGCCTCCCTTTTTCCCTTAATCCAATACTGTATATCCCTCAATATCCAGGGTTCACAGGATTTGGTGATTCCACCCTTTATCTTTCTTGGAACATGTTGGCCTTCTGTTCTCCCTATTTCCTTTGTGAATGCTTCACACTGTTCTGACACAAATTTACCTGAGAGTATCTGCTCCCATTCCACTCTAGCCAAATCATATCTGATCTTATTAAAATCAGCCTTCTCCTTGTCCTTTTCCATTACAATCGAATCTGATGGTGTTTATGATCACTGACTGCAAGGTGCTCTCCCCACTGATAATGCAGTCACTCGCCCACCTTCGTTACTTAAAACTAACTCCAGCACCACTGTCTCTCTTGTAGGGTCTTCTACACACTGGCTTAAAAAGCTCTGCTAGATGCTTTTAAGAATTCCCTTTCCCCTAAACCGTGCACACAATGACTACACAGTTAACGTTAGAGAAATTGAAGTGCCCTACTATCACTACCCCTTTACTTCTATACTTCCCTAAAATTTGCCTACGCAACTGCTCGTCTATTTCTTTCAGAATGTTTTGGGGGCCAATAGTACACTCCCAGTGATATGATTGCTCCTTTTTGGTTTTTAAGTTCTACCCATGTAGCTTTATTTGAGAAGCCTTCTAAAATATTGTCTCTCTTTATTGCTGTAATTGATACCCTGATCAAAACTGCAACCCCTCCTCCTCTTTTACCTCCTTCCCTGTCTCACCTGAAGACCTTATATCCTGGAATATTGAGCTGCCAATCCTGCCTGACTCTCAACATGTACTAGTGACAGCACTGGCATCATACCCCAATGTTTTAATTTCTGCTCTCAACTTGTCTGCTTTGTTCGGCAGACTCCTAGCATTAAAATAAATAACATTCAACTTTGCCAAACTCCCTTCTGCCTTAACTGGCCTATAATTTCTATGCCTTCCTGACTCTTGTGCTATCTCTTCTAATTTTGGCCAATCATCTTCCCTGGATGAACCCTCCCTCTGAACCTCCACTGCCACCTGCCAAGTTAGTTTAAACCCTCCCCAACAGCACTAGCAAATCTCCCTGCAAGGATACTGATCTGGTTCAGATACAACTTGTCCACATTGTAGAGGAGCAATCACCATCAAAAACAGTCCTAATGTTTAAGAAATCCTCTGGCACCATCTCTCCAGCCATGCATTCATCTGGATTAGCTACTATTTCTATAGTCATTCGCACATGGCACTGGAAGCAATTCAGACATTACTACCTTTTGGGTCCTGTTCTTTAATTTACTTCCTAGCTCCCTAAATTCTGCTTTCAGGATCTTATCCCATTTTTTTACCTATGTCATTGGTACCAATATGTCTGTTTGCCCCAAACCCCCCTGTAGATAGCCCTGCAACCATTCAGTGCCATCCCTGACCTATGCGCCAGGTATGCAACATACCATAAAGGAATCGCTTTTGCAGCCACAGAAACGCTTGTTGAATCTCTGACTTCTATAGCCCTGCCATTCTTCTTCCTCCAGTCCTACACACCCATGGTGCCAAGAAGCTAGCTGCTTTCCCCTGCACAATCATCTTCCCCAACAGTATCTGTAACAGGGTATCTGTCAGAAAGGGGGATGATCACATGGGACTCCTGCACTACGTAACTTTCTCTACTCTGTGTGGTGGTCACCCATGCCCACTCTTCCACTCCAGTCTTCACCTGTGGCATAACTGCCTCACTGCACATGTTAATCCATGACTTGCTTCATGTATCCCAATGAGAATCAATGTTGGGGGACCCATCTCCCAGTGAGAGTCAGTGTGTGTTTAGGACTGTACCCCAGTGAGAGTCAGTGTGTGTGTGGGACTGTACCCCA